ACGTGGTACATGTAGCAAAGGGGTGACCATGACACTCAGAGGCTTGCGCCTCGAATTAGTCACTCAGACGAAGGTGAGAGCGAATAACGCCTCGATTAGGACAGATGTGGTGACAGGAGTTGAGTGAAATAGGTGAACAAGAGGTAGAGCAGACGGATTTTACGGAGCAAGAGACTGGGATAAGACTAGGAAATAGGACTGCATAATAATAAAGCACTCTGATCAACATTTCATGTACAAGGATAAAGGGGGAGCGGTGAGAATGAGTTGGAGTGTGGTGTCATGTCGCTCAAAGGAGCACACTAAACTATATCTAAATGAACACGGTAAAAATTGTAATAGTGAAGGCATGATAGGATGCTACCGGAAACGCGAATAACCCAGGGCAGAAGGGGAGCTACCACCACTGTTTAGCATATGTTTTGTCAAAGGATCGGCTTCACTTGTTTTTTTGACGAGTTGTTGTATGGTGCTAATAGCGATACTCACTGACGATGCCGGCGAAACATTTGGGAATGTACCACGTCCACGATTCAACTTTGGAAATGATCATGCAGACAATGGAATCCGGACTAGGTGCGTTCCTCCTACCAATGCGTCTTCGTACCAATATGGCCATGTTGCGAAAACAAGGTCAAGCAACTTCTATACAACGAAAGGAGACTGCGACCACACAATCTTAGTCTTCATTCCTTCGAATAAATGGAGTACAGCCTGCTTCCTGACTCACTACCAACCGCGTAGTTTTGAGGGCAACCAGTGAAACAGCGATGATCTCAAGGTCGACGTAAGCGTAAAGGATCGCTCCGGTCCATAGCTTGAGAAATTAACGTGACGTAAGGATGACAGCTATTCATTCTTCTATTCTCAAAGTATGCCAAATAGATGACAGAAAAACCCAAAAGCTTCATTAAAACAATTTGTAAGGCAAGTTTTATGGCCCCATAAATAAATTCATGAGTTAAGGCTGTTGTAAGACGTTACTGAAAAATAAACATTTAACTCCGGCTATTTTCGCTGGAAGATTTTTTTCTGAGAATATTTGATTTTAAAAACATGCTGAAACCCCAAACTGACTTCATTTTTTGCTTCAGAGAGAGAATTCTACATATTGCTACGACAAGGCTAGCATAAACGGAAGGCCCAGTCTTGTGATTATTTTCAGTACATTCCTGGTCGTTGGGACAAGAGGGATCCTGCCTTGAGGATTATTGCCTCGGACGTTAAATGGTGACCAAAATCTGGATTTTAGAGGCACAGAAGAAACAAACGCGTTACCCAGCGTTTGTAAACGGTCTTCCTCGATTTACATTCTTCAAATATTTCTGATAAAAACGATTTTGATTTCGCATAATTTTCTCAGTTGTCGATCTGGATAACTTACAGTTTAAAAGGAAAATAAAACGTTTGACTGGTATACATCATAATGTTTATGGCCAAATAAAGAACGTATTTTCCAAAAAGATGTTACATTTTTGCACGAAGCTATGTACAGAGGAACCAAAATGTCTGCGTTACTTAATCGACCAAGAAAGCTCTTCCATTACATCTAGAGGAAAACAACACGAAGTCTAAGATGGGTGATCTGGCAAAAAGTGCCAAATAAACTAAGTATTATGTATATAGGTTTATCGCTTGCAAAATAGCAAGATAATACAAATGAACTGGAAAGATTGACAAAGTAACCGATTTCCAAATAATGGATTACTTGAACGAAAGAGAATATAGATAAATTATATATATGCAAATGGATGTATGCGTGACTGGAAGACCGAGCGGTTCTCAGAAAAAAGTGATCGACTGCAGCAGGAGTCAAAATAAGGAAAGTTACCTATTTACAAACCGGGTACATGGATTCGATTTAGAGCAAAAATGATTCAAACCAGAAAAGGGGGCAAAATGAGTGAGAAAAATACTGAAGTAAACCGCTCACGCTGGAAACCGAAGTGATCCGCATAAATTTGGAACAAAACAACATTAAGCGAAATACATAATGATTAGCAGAACAAGGATTCGGACCAAATAGAAATACAAAAAAGATAGGTATCTTTAAGCAAGATGAAAGTGGATCAGACATTAATATACAAATAAGCAAATAAGGTAACACTTAAAGTAAATATTATTCATTTTGTGAGTCGAGATGCTTGTGAGATTGTTTCTTTGCATGGCTTGTAGAGAGAATAGATAAAATCATTTAGAAATCGATGGGGAGACTGAGATCAAAAATGCTAGTGGAACGAAAAATGGATAGTATTTACATGATATAAAGGGGAAAGTGTACATTGGTAGGATAAAATAAATGAGAACATGAACCGTGCATCTACTTAGGGTATGCTATTAAGCTTGGGGAGCCATTAAGTGATAAGTAATAAAGTCGATATAGGGACTAATAAATAGATATGCTGTTATGAAAAAAATGGTTCGACTTCAGACCAGATGCAACCAAGGCTAGACTATACAAGGAAATTCGATGAAAAAGGAAATGCAGAATGGGGGGCAAGCAACTGCAAATATGGTAATAATTTCATATACAATTAAAGTGAGCGAGGTACTGATGACATCTGATCAAATGGCTCTCAAATATCAAATTCCTGGTAATAGACCACAATTTGAATATCGAGGCGATTAAAAGGTAGTGCAACAAGTGAATGCAAATGATTGCTGTAAGGCGCACAGAATCATGATCCAATGCTATAAAAAATTGGCGCTATAAATAGATTTTTCGTTAAAGGCAAGAAAAGTTTATCAATCGGTAAACGGATATGGACAGGTCAAAAACAAATAAATCCTTCAAATAGCAAGCGAAGATGTCCAAAGACTAGATGGGCTCGTAAATAAACCAATTTGGCCAAACATTAAAAAGCCAAGATTGGCCTTAGTTATGTGCATCGATAGTCTGTAGGTGATGAACTCTTATCAATTTACACCAGCCAAGCTTTCCTGAGGCCAGTTTATCTCGAGGTTGTCCGAATCGCTTATCGTATAGAACTCCTCAGGCTCTGAGGGCAAAAATCGAGGCGGTACAGCGGCAACATCATCTTGCGCCAATCCCATACCCATCGTTACCGCAACAGTATTGACAACAGGTGTAGGAGAGACATCGGAGGAACAACTAATGGAAGGGCCAACTGATTGCCTCCCATTTCTCAGATGCGAATACCTTACTTCAAGGTCGTCAAGGTCAGGTGACACTTGATCAGAGACGCTGACTCCATTTTCATCATCGTAATCTGTATGATTTCCTAATTCTGTCTGTTGTTCTAAAGACATTTTAGACAAGAAGGTTAGATTTGAATGCTCTTGCTGTCGCTGCTGTGGATGACGATGTTGTTTATTGATCACACATTCATTATTATGCAAGTGATTTGGCCTCTCCAAGTTGACTGTGGATGAGTGAGTGTATCCGATTGGTTGTCTAAGTGGATACAGTCGGTGGCTGACTGTGCCAAAGTCATGTGATGATACCTCATTGCCAAGCTCTTGTTCCGAATTCAACGAATGAGTTTGACGCCCACTCGCAATATCACGACTTGGCACTTGTAGGTTTCGTTGCGCACGCCAAAGTCCAGGCATAAAGTGAGACGCAGGAGAACAAGGAGATCTCTGGGTAAATTCGCTCGATCGTGTCAAAAACTGAGAAGAATAAGGGATAGCTGTATCATTAATTTCTTTTCTCGTCTCAGGGATACAGCCTTGAGAGCCAAGGCAGAAAGTGTCCAGACGACGATCAACAATGGAGCCAACTAAATTGGGATTAACCTCATCGACAATCGAAGCGATCTGAGTCCGTGAGGCAAGTGACTTGTCATCATTAATATCCACGTCTTCCCCCTCGCATGTCGTAGCAGTGTCACCAGAATACGTAGGTATACTAAGAGAGTGACGATGCAAAGACTTAGAGCTACTTGTTCTTGTAAAGGCACGTCTAGGCACGCTATACCTATTATCCAGATCACCAACCTCAGTGGCCTTGGTAAGCACCTTATATCTGGCCCTATCTCGACTTGAGTCTATTTTTCTGAGAAAGCTACCGGTTGTCATGTGCAGCGGCTTTCTTTCCCTTGTTTCATTTTGGGGCTGAGCATTGTCTGGAGTACTGC